TGCATAACAAATTAACCCAGAGAAAGCCTCTTTCCAGATACTTCTTCCATCCAGTAATCTAACAACTCTGACTGAAGTGGGATGAATAACTACTGTACTTTCTTCTGAATTAAACTGCCATTTGTCCTTCTTTCATCCAAAACACAAGACTCAATTTCACAACCTTTCTCGTGGAGATGAGACAATTATGTGCCATCCAGGATGTTCTAGAATAGAGCTCTAATTCCAATCTCCTAATGACTTTCTCCCACATCATATAGATGTTAACTAATATGAGAGTCAAGATAGATCCAGAGCTCAATAGGTAGAAGAACCATTTCTTAGCATCTAGAATCAAAGTATCTAGGAATACCACCAAATCCTGATGTAATCAGAAGGATATAGTAGAATTATAAGTGATGGTTCTGAAGGTGCCAATGATTCAATTACAGGTAGCAACATGCACTTCCTATGCCGGGGTGAAATGCTGCTGGTATAACAACTGGTTTGGTGATCACGCTTTGCATGCGGACACGTGCTATGCGTGCATGAACAATGCAGAAATCCTTACCTGCTATGTTACTTCGGAAGAGTAACACAGCTGAGGAGCGACAATCTGCTCTTCCATGCTGATCAGCTGGGACGATAAAGATCCGTAGAGCGCAGGGGCAGGCGGGCAGGTGGGCCTACATGATTGTCGGAGCGAACCGGTTCTCTGCCAGCTGATCTTCAGAGCTAGAGGTTCGGCCGAACCAGTCCAAACCACCAGAATCCTACCCTTGTTCCTATGGAGATCATTCATCCTGTTTGTTAGGCAGCCTGATCTCCCAAACAGGTGTCTTAAAACAAATTACCAGAGCGTTGAAATAAATGCAACTCTGAAGCCAGATTAATTTCATTTTTAAATGAAATTAATTAAATGGAAGAGTAGAATATACAAATTTCACAATTATAACGAGGCAGCTTCAAAGGGTTTGACGTGTGCATCTGATATATCTGATGCTGGGTCACAAGGTAAAATGGCTGTTCATGTTATAATATATACTCTAGTTATAATACTCTTTCCCAATTACCTTCTTGGGGAATTGTGACCACTTGAGAACTTTTGTTTTGGAATAAGGCAATTATAGATAATCAGCGGAGCAGCAGTGCAGCTAATTTGTAAGTAACCTGTTAAATTGCAACTGTCAAGAGCCTGAGGGTGAAGGTGTGCTGTTTGGCTGTGTATTTTTATTTCCTTGCTGAATGCCACCCAGGGTCCTAGGAGACCGGGTGCATTATAAATAATGTAAAATAATATAAAATAAATAATACACAATTATTTTATAGCATTTCCAAAACACAGTTCAATAGACTATTTCTATATAATCTTAAATAACTGAAAGAGAAAAAAAACTTGCAAAATATGCTAAATTATCCCAATCATCCTATTGGTGATTATACACCACAAAAAGCAATGAAAAAACAAGGAAAGAAGTTGTCATACTGACCACCACTGCTGCATATAACCTTAAAAGCTTATCAAGATTGCCCCAATAAGTTAAATAATTTTGGGATGACTTTGCTGACATGTTGATTGCTAATCACCATGTGTTTTTTTTAAGGATTCAGCAGGAGAACAATCAAACTCAATTGCCATTGCCAGAATTTCACATAAATTGATTCTGTGCTCTAGGCCAGTGGTGGCTAACCTTTTTGGGCTCCTGTGCCATAAATTGTGCACATGCTTGCATGTCCGTGCTCACGTGCCAAAAGGCAATGCACGCCCCCTACGCATGCGTACGGAATCCCCACCCTGCTGCCCCCTTACTTGCAGTGCGCCTCACAGCTGATTTTCGGACTCCCAGAGGCTTTAGGGAGGCTTCTGTAGGCTTTTCAGGCCGAAAACTAGGCCCATTTCGTCACTTCTGGTATTTTTAGAAAAAGAGGAAGTGATGAAATGGGCCTAGTTTGCAGCCTGCAGAAGCCTTCCTAAAGCCTCTGGGAAGCCGAAAAAGGCCTCAAACTAGCCAAAACTCAGTTGTGAGGTATGCGCATGTGCAATGAGGTAAGTCTGCCTGCAGCTCATGTGCCAGCACAAATGGCTCTGCATGCCACCTGTGGCACACATGCCATAGGTTCGCCATCACGGCTCTAGGCTATATTACTCTAGGCTATATTACTCAGGTGTTCTACTGCTGACAAGGTAGTAGAGATTCTCTGAACGACAATTTGGAAAGCACCCAACTAATCCTTGTAAACAACTCAAGGACTTCTGTTGGCCAAACTACTAATCAAGGATGAACGTAATAAACAATGGAAATTAATCGGTGTAACCATATATATATTCACACAAAAACTGCTTTTTTCAAACTTCAGTCTACAATTGAGATGGCTAATTCATTCCTAATGATCTAATGGAAAGGAATTACCCTTCCCTGGGTTCTCACGTTCTCCCAGATTTTTGGCTTGGAATTAAAGACCACTGAATCTAGGATTTATGTATGTTCAAAAGATAGAGGCAAATAGGACGTTTCACAGTGCAATCAATTGTTCAAGGTAAGGCTGCTAAATTGTCAGAATTTTATTTTTTTTTTGAAAATTTTATTTGGGTTCTCACAAAAACAAAATACAAATAAAACATCTTTTTTTAAAATAGCATGGTCCCAGGTTATCACTTCTTCATACAGACACAAAACTCAATTTCATGCTCATTTTTATATTCTATTCCATATTACCATTTTATATTTTCTACATAATTTTTCCCCTCTTTTAATTTTCTCAACTTTGTTTTAATTATCTCAATTCAAATCATTATATTTATACTTTTGTCTGTCCTGATACAATTTCACACACACACACACACACACACATAGAACACATTCCATTCCAATTCAATTCTATCATTAATATGCATTAAAATCTTAACATCTTTAACATTTCTTTTCAATTGAATATCATACTTCCTTGGGAACACTTATAAACTTTCCATAGTTAATTCTTTTTTTCCCATATTTCTCACTTATATTTTTTATAAATTATTACCAATAATTAAAAATGTTCCCTTTTAATTCTCTTAATCATTTTAATTCATTTATTTATTAACAAACATCCCACTGCATTACAATAAATATTTTATCCATCATATTTTCTAAAGTTATTTCTATTTGTAATATAACAAAGCTATCTTATGTACCTTTGCAGAATCCCTTTTACAATTAAATTTTCACCCATTATCTCTAAACAAACTTATGGTTACAATCCTTATATCTTTTCTCTGTTTCTCCATTTCTTGTTTCTGTCTTTTACAGCTT